AATTGGAAGATGTTGTGTCCAGGTGCAGCTTTTTCAGCTTTTATCCTGATTGGTGTTCTGTGGTTTCTGAATCTATAGACTGGTGTTTGATATTAGTTTGGGGAAATTCTCAGTCATTATTGTTTTAAATATTTTAAATATTCTCTCTCTCCCGCCCCCTTTTGTATTCTTATTTTGAATGGTACACCTTCAGTTGTCCTATAGTTCTTGGATTTTCTATCTTGCTTTTTTGTTGTTGTTGTTTTTGTTCTTGTTTTTTTTTTTTTTTTTTTTGGCTTTGGAAGTTTCTATTGATTTATTCTCAAATTCAGAGATTATTTTCTGAGTTGTGTCCAGTCTACTAATGATCCCATCTCAAAGACTTTAATTTCTGTTACATGTTTCTGAGCTCTAGAACTTTGTTTTGTTCTTTTTTACGATTTCCATCTCTTTGCTCCTATTTTCATCTGTTTTTGCATGTGTCTACTTCGTCAGTTAGCACCCTTAGCAGATTAATCATAGTTGTGTTAAATTCCCTGATAATTTCAACATTCTTGCCGTGTTTGGTTCTGATGTTTGCTCTGTCTCTTCAAACTTGTTTTGTTTTGCCTTGCCTTTAATATGCCTTGCTTCTTGCTAGCCAGACATTAGGTATTGGGGAAAGGCTATAAATGGGTTTTAATGATATTGTGGTAAGGTGTAGGGGGAGGGGAAGGGCTGTAGGTCTTATGATTAGTTCTGTCTTTTAGTGAGCTTGTACCTCTGGTTCTCTTAGCTCCCCCTCCATGATTCTCTCTATCCACCTGTCTCTCTGCAGTTTTCCCAGGGGAAGTAGTGTTTTGCCTTATTACTTCAAATAAGTTATTTAGAAACATATACACATGTATTTGTAAATCATCAAGAGCAAGTATTATTTCTAGGCAAGAGACTTTTGGGGTTGTGGCTCAGTGGTAGAGCATTTTTTGCCTAGCATGTGTGAGACAACTGTGTTCGTGAGGCACCACATAAAAATAAACAAATAAAATAAAGATATTGTGTCCATCTACAACTAAAAAAATATTTTTTAGAAAAGACTTGAACAAGAGGTTCGTAGAAACTGTGTTTGCTTCCACCTTTGAAAATATATAAACATTTTATTTTTTTAAAAATGGAGAGCTTCCTGGAATCCTTGTTTTAAGTATATAGGCCAGGGGTAGTTGCACACACCTATGGTCCCAGTTAATCTAGAGGCTGAAGCAGGAGGATCATTTGATTCCATAAGTTTGAGCCTAGCCCAGGCAATATAGCAAGACCCCATATCAGAAAAAAGAAGATAAACTCTGAATCCTGAAATATGGGTATAGTCTGAAAATCTCTGTTTCATGACAGAGATTTTACAGAGAGTTCCCCCCAATTGGAGGGTCTTAATGAGGGTTTATAGAGGGTCTTAAATGCCTAGCTGGAAACTATGGGTCTTCATTCAGTAAAGAATAAGGTATCATCAAAGGCTGAGCCAAGTGATGCTCCTAGGGTCTGGCACAGGCTAGGGAAGTGCTCATCACTACAGTTGTGTTTAAGGAAAGATTCTACCATCTTAGACCAGAGGTGTGTGTTTGTATATGTCATGAATAAAGAAAATCTGCCTTATAAAACAGTTGATGAAAGAAAATCATGGATCAAGAAAGGATGCATATCTTTATTCTAAGTGATTATAACTTCTTTATGTAGCAAACTCTTTAGAGTAATATAACCCTGCAAAATGTAATATGTATATTACATAATATGTGTTCTCAGATCATGTCTTATATAATCCACTTAAGACACCTAAGAGACATAGGGTATTTTAAGTACACCAGCAAGCTGCTCAGATTCATTGTAACAGCATCTTTCTCTCCCTCCCTTCCTCCCTCCCTCTGTGTGTGTGTGTGTGTGTTAGATAGTTTTAAACACATTTTCCCCTCTAAGAAGATTAAACTGTTTATAGCAGGGGGAAAATCCACATACCTTTTATAAGCTGCTTATTGTTGTAACACAGATTAACTTCACAGCACATAAAGAGAATACTGGAAAACACTTGCATGATTAAATATGCCCCTAGAGGATTAAGTTTTTCCACATAATTTTCAGCCAGTGCTATTAATAATGTTTCTGCATTAAACTTTCTGTACATCCTGATTGCCTGTCCTTTGTTCTTCCCTTCTGTTAGTTTTTCCACTGTCAGATTTGTGGCATTACAAAATTATCTGTGGAAACATAGGCTTCAAATCTGAAAGTTTAATAAGTTCCAAAAAAGTATCATGTCTGGAATTATTCCAGTCTTGTTTCCCCCCTAAGTTTTTGTCCATTTCAAACTCATTTCATCTTTTGTCTTACTGGAATCCTGGCATAAGGTAGCTATTTACCAAGCTTAGGGATTCACTCAGAAATAAGTTGATTGTTAAATACAAAGTATTTATAATTTTGAAAAAGGTCATTTAATTTTCATGCACATTCTTCCTAAGATAACATCCTGGTTTATAAGGAATCTCATTATTACTGAGGAATTATTTATTAAATGCCTTTTTATCCAGGCCATGGTTGTCCAATTAATTTCCTGTGGCTAATCAGCCTGAGACTTGACTTTGTGGATACCCTGCCCCTCCAGCTCTCTAGGGTTCCCAACCTTTGATCCCACTGCCTGCAGGTCATCTTTCTTTACCAGCCTCGGACTGTTCTCAGGTCCTTTGATGGTGCTCACCAGCCCCTGGGTATTGGCCTTGTCTCTGTTATCTTTTTTTCCTGCCAGTCCCCAGCATCTGGGCTCTGATGGGTTCTTAATCACCTTTTTCCAAAAAACGTTTCTGTCCTGACTCAGGTTGCTTGCACAGTGATGTGCTTTGGTTAGCTTCCCCTCTCATAGCTTCCCCATTTTGTGCATGCTCCATGGCCCTCCCATCCTCAACCTCTTCTGGCAGCAGATGATCTTGTGCCTGCTGCTTAGATCCTGCCTCCCTTTTCACTATAGCACCTTTGCTCACCCTGTCCTCCTCACTGCTGTGCCTTGGGGAGAGCTGCCACCTTCTTCATGGGTGGTTCAGGGTTTCTTCCTCTGCCTCTTTGGAGCCCTTTCTCTGGCACTGAAATTAAAGTTTTAATACTGTTTAAGTAATATATGCACATGGTTTTAAAGATTCAAGTAACTCAGGTGGAGTATCTCATCTGAAATGCTTGCAACCATAAGTGTTTCAGATATTGGAATATTTGCATATCTTAGAGTTCATAAAATTCATTTATGTTTCATATGTATCTATACATGCAGCCTAAAGATAATTTTATACAGTATTTTTGTTGTACCTTTGTTATGAATGAGACTTACCACTTGAGGTCTTGTGTGGAATTTTCCATTGTGTCATGTCAACACTCAAAAAGTTTTGGATTTTGAAGCATTTTGAATTTCATATTTTCACATTAGGAAGCCTCAGCCCATAGGATAAAATAATATTTGCTACTTTCTCCAGTTTAGAGTTCCTGTGATCATTGATCCCTGTGACAATTGTTTTTGTTTGTTTCTAAGAACAAGTTACTTTTCTCATTGTTCTCTTAGCAAGACTATTGGCCTTTTATCTTCTGATTTTTTTTATGATGATTCTAAAACTCCTTTATTCATTTTACTGAGTGTACACTTAAGTGTTTTCTAGTTTGGAGCTGTTGTGAATAGTGCTGCTATGGACACTTGCACTTGTGCCTTCTGTTGCACATATGCACACATTTTGTTCTGTGTGTGTGTGTGTGTGTGTGTGTGTGTAATAAAATACACATATATATGAGTAGAATTGCTAGATTATAGGGCATATAAGTGTTAAATTTCTAAAATGGTTGTTTCATTTTGCACTTCTATGAGAGTCCTGGTTGTTTTGCATCTTTGTCAGCACTTGGTATTTTCTTTTTCATTTTAGCCTTTTGGGTAGGTTTAAAAATACATTTGGGTAGCTTGTATGTCACATTTGTAACAAAATCCTTTTGTTCCTCCCTTTCCTATGATACTTTAAATTTCTTTTTCTTGGCTGTTTCTCCATCTGGTGTTTGTTTTCTATCAAGTGAATTTTAGAATCAGTAACCTCGAATCGTCTAGATTTTTTGGTGAATTTACATGACACTTTATTTGGGAAAAACTGGGATCTGAACTAGAAAACGATATTGTTATTCTAAGAAGGACAAAAGTGATAAATACTAAGCATGCCCAGTTTTTTGCCTACCAGATTGCACCATTATCTCTATATTTTAGAGATAATTTTTCTAACTTTTCCTTTTGATTTCCCTTTTAACAAGTGTGCTAGTCAGCTTTCCATCACTATGCCAAAATACCTGAGAGAAACACTTTGTAAGGAAGAAAGGCAGCTGGGCGCAGTGGCACATGCCTAAGATCACAGCAGCTCAGGAGGCCAAGACAGGAGGATGACAAGTTTGAGGATAGCCTCAGCCTTAGCAAGGCCCTATTTCACACTAAAAATTGAAAAGACTGAGGATGTAGCTCAGTGGCATAGTGCCCCTGGGTTCAATGCCTGGTACACCCAACCCCCCAAAAGGAAAGGTTTGTTTTGGCTTATGGGGTCGGAGGTCACTTGGTTCTGCTCTTTTGGGGCCTATAGTAAGGTAGAACATCATAGTCAGGAGCCCCTCTCATGGCAGCCAGAAGCAGAAAGGAGAAAAATGAAGGGTACGTGAACAGAATATACTTTTCAAGGACCTGCCCCCCATGGCCTACTTCCTCCAACAAGGACTCACCTCCTAAACTTGTCACCACCTCCCAATAGCCTGTTAAGCTATTCATCAATAGATTAATCCAGTGATGAGCTTAGAACCTTCATGATCCAGTCACCTTCCAAGGGCCCCTCCTCTGGGCATTGCCACCTCTTGTTTATTGAGCAAGCCCTCAATACACAAGATTTGGGGGTATATTTCGGAAACAAACATAGCAAGTTCTTGTTAGAAATGAAAGTCTTTTTAAATATGCATTTAAAATCTGCATCTTCCTTTCTAAAAATACAATTTTTTTTTTACAGGTTCTTGATCAATATGAACGAGAAGGATTTAATTTCCTAGCAAAGGTGTTTAATTCTTCACATTCCTTCTTGGAAGACTTGACTGGTCTCACATTGCTGCATCAAGAGACCCAAGCTGCCGAGGTAAGAATAAAACAAGCTTCCTGTACTGAGGAATTGATATTTGAAACCTATTTGATATTTGTCTTTCTGGAAAAAGGTAGAAAGCAATTAATTTTGACCTTTTTCCTCAGAGCTCATATCACTAAGCGAGTCTGATAGTTATGAGAAGAAAGAATCTTCAGTAGTGACTGACAATGGCGTGTGTGGGTCACTGTCCCATTTGTTGCCTAATGCACAAAATTAATGATAGAAAAAGTACAGGTTATTGATTTCCACGTACTCCTTGTCCGTACTGAAGATGAGCATGAGTGTGGCCATTGGAGAGTTGCTTCCAGTGTCCGTGTATCAAAATGCAAATTAGCACAGATGGTGGGTTCTGGCCCCATGGTCTTTAGAAATGACACACTGGCTTGTATTTCACAATTTGATCAGTCATCTTAAGCACAGAATGCTATTATGAAATGGATTCTCCTGTAACAACCTTTGTGGGAGAGTTATGATTTGTTTCTCCGCTAGAATATTTTGTAGCTCTTTATTTCCTGGATCATTGCAACCCCCCCCCAAAAAAAAAAAAAGTCTTGAGTTTAAAAAATACCTTATCATTTTGTTTTTTTTCCAAATGTTCAGTGTTCTTAAAAAAGGGAATGCTGTGTGTACATGGTGATGGAGCTATGTGGGTCAATTGGCAAAATGTACAGTTCCTCAGAATGGGTGACTAAGTGAGATCAGCATCTCCTAAATCATCATGTTTCCCCTTTAGCGCCTGGGTGAAGAAGCTATTAGGAGAAATGGGGCCTATGTCGGCATTTCCACAAGTTGCATAAGGAAAACCTTGACTTCCCATGTCCGGCAGGAGTGGTACAGGTGCTGAGTTGCCATTAGTCCTGTTTGCTGGTAAACTCCTTGTAACGGGTTGTATATCCTTGATACTGGGGAAGGCCCCGCGTTGTCAGTGAGTAGCTGGCCAAGCCCAATACTGGACCAGCCAAATGTGAAAATGTTGCTGTTTGGAGGGGTGAAACTGGCACTGAGTATAGGAAACTATGTGGAAATAGCAGAGCTGAACTCCTTGGAGCTTTAAGCAGACAAAGGTGAGATTTTTCAGATGCTCCAGGAATCAAGCTAGTACATGTAAGGTGCTGGACTTAGAATTCACACTGATTCTTTTTAAACTTGCTTTGGTGTTATGTGGGCATTAAACAGACAAGTTCTTCCACTGATGGACAATAGTTAGAACCCTAGGGAATCTCTTCTCTTCAGTTTCAGGAGATGACTGGCATCTTTGCAGGACTTTAAGTGACTCTGACAATTTCTCCCAGAGCTGTGATTGGATTCCCAAACAGGGCTCAGAACATGTTGATTTTGGCCACTATTTTGTCTTTCGAGCAGCGCCGTCCTGCCTGGTGGTGTGGGAGAAGAAATGAATATCTGTGCAACTTGCAATCACTTGATGAGATGGCCTGGGGAAGGTTTGCCACCCAGCTAGATATAGTTTATATATTTCTCATTAGTTGGCTGGAAAAACTGCAACTTGAAATTGACCCGCCTTTCACTCTTCAGAGCAGATGCTAGGATGATGGGCAGATTCCTTGATTGAACCAGGTGTGTTTTGCATTTTCATTGGTCAAATGTTGAGAGTCTTTTTGAAGACTCAAAAGAGAAGTGGAGATTTAAGAGAACAATAGTGACTTAATGAGTGGTGGGGCAGGAAGGGCATGGTGTACAAGCCTGAGTTTTCTTTTTTAATATTCCACCATTAAGTTATATTTATGGTTCTGGAATCATAAGCCACACATCAGATTTTAAAGATGATAAACTCTTTGGCCTGTGAGCCAGATGTGGCTTGTAGTTCTGGTGTTTTTGGCCTGCCCTACATGTTAAATTCTGATTAAGGCCAACACTGGAAAATCACAAGTTTTACATAAAAGTCTGAATTTTCCCATTTCAACTTCTTTGAAAAAATCAGATCTGGCAACTGTAGGTCCACATTCCTTCATAGTGATGCTCAGCTAGAGCTGAGAATGACATTTTATGGATCATTAATGCAGTTGATACAGTCTGAAGACAAAAAAAAATCTTCTGTGAAGGGCTGGGGTGTGGCTCAGTGGTATTGTGCATGCTTAGCAGGCACTAGACCCAGGGTTGGACTCCCAACAAAGTACACACGCAACCACAAAAATAAATAGATAGATAAATAAAACTCTTTCTTCTATGCCTACTTCTCAGTCCCCAGTTTCCTTCCTGGAGACAGGCACACTTGTTAGTTTGCTTCCCAGAGATGTTCTTTGGGAATATTTTCCATATATTTTCTGCCCTGCAGTTGCTGACACTTATAGGTATTTAGGTTTGTAATGCTTGCCATGGAAAAAAGATCATTATTTTCCTTTAAAAACTCTAAACAGGGCTGTTTTAAGAGAAGACCCTAACACACAAAATACAGTCTTACTAGAGGACCTAATAGTAACAAAAATTTTACATTACTATGAAAAATGTGTGTGTACTTGTAAAACAAAATAAATGTATTATCAACAAATATAAACATATATATGTAAAGGTAGTATTTTGTTTTACATACTTTATTTCCAATGTTTTTACATATATTCAGTGATGAAAGTACAAAGTTAGCTGGACATGGTTGTATGCAACTTGGGAGGCTAAGAAAGGAGTATTGTAAATTTGAGGACAACCTCAGCAACTTAGGGAGATCCTGTTTCAAAAAGTAAAAAGGGCTGGGAATGTGGCTCTGTGGATAGTGCCCTGGGTTAAATTCCCAGTACCAAAAAAACAAAGCATAAAAATCTACCTTCCATATAGAAAAGCTCCAGCTTATTTATATTAGCAACCTTGTCCATCAACATCAGAATTGCAAAAGATTCAACCAGATACTTATATGTGACAATATCATTGTATACCTTGTTTAAACATATATATGTGCAGTGTGTGTGTGTGTGTGTGTGTGTGTGTGTGATATGTTGGGGATTAAACCCAGGGTCTCATGCATGCCACACAACTGCTCTAAATAAGTAAATAATACTTATTAAATACTATATACAATATTTTTAAAAATTACTGAAGATCTTTGAAAAATTTGATACTAGACACTGTGGTAGTCACTGAATACAGAAATGAATGAGACACTGACTCTCCCAGGCTCATAGTTGAGTGTGAGAAGCAGAGATGTAAATCCTGAGCTCTAGTATCATTAAAAAATGTCTTAGGGGGCTGGGGTTTGGCTCAGTGGTAGAGCGCTTGCCTAGCATGTGTGAGGCCCTGGGTTCGATTTTCAGCACCACATATAAATAAATAAAGGCCAGTTGACAACTAAAGATTATATTTTTTAAAAAAATGTCTTTCATGTGAAGTATTGAGAGAGCAGTTGCTCCTACCTGGGGTAAGGGGGTATCAAGAAAAGTCTCCCAGGAAGAGAACAAATGTTTCCATTAGTTTTGAAGGATGATAAGCTATTTTTAAAAATAAAGTTGGACTTTGGCAGGAATGGGGAAGACCAGGTACCTGGGGCTTCTTCAGCCAATTCAGATCTCTGAGGCCGAGTCTTCAGAGTGTTTTTCAGTATCGTGAGCAGTCTGATGCAGTTGAGCCAAAGTTACTAAAATCAAGATGCTTTTTAAATAGCAGCTTTATTGAGTTGTAATTCATATATCATGAAGCCCATCCTTTTTCAAAGTGTATAATTTAGTGGTTTTCTCATATATTCTGGATTGTGCTACCGTTACCACTATCTACCTCTCAAGCAATTCATGGCCTCCCAAACAGACTTTATGTAAAGTTTCCTGTATCCTTCAACACCTATGGTCTGTCTGCCCCACATTCTCCTTGGTGAATGAAGAATGCAAAGCTGATCCCACTAGAGACACCAAGTGCCTTTATTTTCATGGACAGGGGCCCATTGTATTGTATTAGAACATGGATCCAAAGCAGGACCATCCAGATTTGGTGAGAATGACTAATATAACCCTAAATTTTGCACTCATGTCCCCTCTTCCACCATCACATATCCAAAAATGACTGCTGGTTGCTGGTGTATTGGTGTTGCCATTGGGATTAGTGGGCAAATTCCTAGAGAGTTTTGTTGGAGGAAGGGTTGTGGTGCAAGAGCACAAGTTGGTCCTGGAGCCCAGGCTTGTGGAGATGTGTTCATCTCAGGTAGTGATGATTTTAAGGTAATGGAGTAAAGACAACTGATGGCATTGGCGATGGATGAAATTGGAGCCTTGAGGGAAGAAAAGAACTGGTAAATTAATATGGCCAAATAAAGGAAAATTATCCTCTATTTAGCACAAGGAAGAGAGGCTGTAAAATTAGGGTATAATTTTTTATAAATTTAAATGAGAAATATGTGTTTTAATGAGATTAATGTTATCTAAGGTTACATGTAGAAAAATTAAATACACTCATCACAGAGCCATTTGTCTTTGCCAGTGTTATAGTTCATAATGAAGGGGCCTCAGTCAGGCATCAATATTTTTTGTAGGCTATCTGGTTGCCAAATTATAATCATGTTCTATGAGAAGGTCCTGCAGAGGAAGGGCCTCACTCAGCTCCCAACTTCTATTGCCAGGTAAATAAGATAATTTTTACCTTTATTTTCAAGGCCCTTATTGAGAATGATTGGGGTCTTTAGAGATTGGCCCTGACTTGGTATTCCTCCTCGATCTCTCTTTATTTTATTTGGAGCCTAAAAAATGACCTTACAGTAGTCAACCAGCAAGGTGTTCAAGTCAAACTCTTCAGGAGTTTGCCAATTTTTTTTTTTTAATTGCCACATCTGTTGAAGATCTAAATCAAACATGTGAATGCCTTAGCCATGTTCCACAAAATGTGCTCTGACTTATCCTCCTAGGGTTATTTCTCATACTGTGGATGAAATGTCAGTTTGCATGTATTTTTTGTGTTCCACCTGTGGGTTCAACATTGTGCTGTGAGAAATGCCAAAAATCTTCCAACTGAATCTAGCTTAGAGAAAAGACTGATTTATTAGAGAATTAATAATAGGAGCCATA